CACCTCCCTGCAAGTACGTTTGTTATAAAACCGGATGGGTTTTCCATGTAAATGGTAAACAACCTTGGTTTGCTGTTCTCGATGCTTATTTCGCTTTCCTTCCCATCATTCGTTTCGTTTGCATCACGTGTGTTGATGTGTAAAAGTGGATTCCTCCCACTTTTCTCTTTATTTTGATCGTATTTTGAACCGATATTTTATTTTGAAGATCTTAAAGAGAAGTTTTAACGCTTGCGTACGAAACAACTGCCGGCCGACAGAAGGAATGTAAAGTACTAAATATAACATTCACTTGAAGGCGGTAACGCCGTAATGTTTTATTTGTAGGGCATCGCATTTTAGTACTGTGTCTGGCTAACTTGATATTCCTGATTAAATGTCCTGCTTATTTTAACCTTTTCCCAATTATAGTCTGGTTAGTTTGATCATGTTACATTTGCTTGCCAGATCCCTGGTTAGATTAACCAGATTATGGTTGGAAAAATAACCATGAAATGTAACCAGGAATATTAAGTTAATCCCAAATAAGGATATTTCTAGGTTTCACAGAAACTTTTCAACTGGAGTGTTTTTATAGAGTGCATAGTAATAATTGAGGTTGCGACTGTCAAGTCCAAACGGAAAGCAGGCTTAATAAATATTTAAATATTTTCATCTCTTCTCTTCTTAGCTGCTGGTTCAAGGCTCTCTTCATGTTCGGAATATTTGTGAATGATCTTTTGGAATTCTGTTGCTAAACGTCTCCCCATCTTGCCAACCTCAGATTCACCCTGCAATAAAGAAGAAAGTTGTGCAAACTATAGTGGTTGAGGGATTTCTGTAGATGGAAATTGCGAGCTTCTCCAATAAGTTTTCTGCCTTCCAATTTGCCCGGCCCTCAGAGTTATTGATTATTATCTATTTGCATTTTGCATGACCTAATTACATGTATTGCTATAATCATACATTATAACGTCGAAATTATGACTATTAAAATATGGCAATTAAGATGCTATTTACAAAGAGAAAAGAAATACATACATAATTGAAAGTAAATTTTTGAGATTGTTCTTATAGAATTGTTTTTAATTCTTCGTATTTCTGGCAGGTTAAGGCTAAATGGTATGGAGTGTCTATGGAAATTCCTGTAATTTGCCCCGGCCCCCATGGCGCCTGGGCAGATTTTTTTACTTTAATACGCTGCATCAGATTAACGATAAAATGATATTACATGAATAAAACACTAAGAGCAAATGAAGCTATTAATTATAACCTGGAAATGGATTTTGTACAAACATGTGAAATTGTGCAAAATATTGAAAATATATCTGTAACTTTTTAAATTTTGAGTAAAATAGTTCTTACACATCAACATTTATAACATTGATGTTCAAAAGGTTTCCGCAAACTACTGACACCAATGACACCGATGTTTGCAAACTACTTTGAGTTGGGGGTTGGTTTGGGTGTATAGGAGTTAGTAGTAAAGAGGAACTGGTTTTCGTTTCCCAAAAATGATTGCAGTACCCCAAAGTCGAGAACTTGGGGCTCGTTAAAAGGGCCATTCTGTAACATATACTGTATAGTATACAGTTATTACAGTATAAATATCTAAAATTTTCGCTTTAGAGATGGCATATACCAATGGAACTCCTAGAGGCTTTAAGCGCCTTCGGCGATTGAATGCCGTCGCTCGCCAGTCTGCCCAAATAGTCTGTGTATACGGCACTGTTATATATGGCTGGTCAGAGTATTAGTGCTAGGAATACCCAACAAAAGGAAAGTGAACAATAAATAAATACTTACATCATTAAAAAGCGCACAGTTGCCAAAAATCAGCTTGCAATCAGTAATAAAATCATTCACGGTGTTGTAATGTTCAAAATGCATTGGTTGAAGTTTTGTTTTGATCGAAGTAAGATCCATTGGCTTCTGAATGATTTTGTAGTAGTTCGGAACCTAAATCAATATAGTAAGGTAGAAAAGTAAGACAAATTTGCACGCGATTGGATTGAAAAGGGCCTATTCATATAGGACAAATCCTTTTAAAATCTCCCCACTCTATAAGGACTCCTCTTTTATAGAGGTGGACATTTATTAAAGGAATGGCAACAAAATATTTTACTGTCTCATTTGAAAGAACATTTAAAACTATTAAATCTTGTTGCACATTTTCATATCTTGCTTGATACTTGAAATATTATGACTGAAAGCAATGAGCTGTTTTGGATTTTGAAGAGATGCATATTACGTGACAAGTGGGGTCAACACAATGTTGGGTCAACCCAGTGATCAATATGAAACCGAAACTCGTTGAAATTTACTTTAGATTAAGTAATTTTAGTAATTTAAGCGTAATTTTTATAAAGTTAACCCCCTCCTGACGTCATCAAAACGATAGTTAATAAGGTTAATAATTAATCTTAACTTCCTGTTTTTCGGTTAATTGAACTATAATAAGCCCCCCTTTCGACTGAAACTCCATCTCTATTAAGCACATCGCTCTAAAAAGTCCCTCCTATTCCGAGGCACTAAATACACATGCATGATAAGGGCAATGGGGTAAAACTAGTTTCACATTATTCTGACACTGCAGAGACATCCGTTGGCTCAAGCGGGATTCCAACTTGCATCTTCCAGTTTCTCGTCCACCCTTAACCCATTGAGCTGTCGCGTAAACGGGGATTGATGCCGAGTTTGCCAATTTAAGTGAACGAAATATTTTCGTGACGATTTGACTATTGTCTTAAGGACGCGCAGTGTTTCATTTCTGTTTTAGAACCATCCTCAGAGATATGAGAGAAATTATTCGGACACTGAAAATTCGTTTCCTCCAGCGGCTATATCTCCGATTCAAACATAGTTTATCTCCCTTAGTGTATCATGTTTAAACATATCTATGAAACACACAGCAGAACTTTAATAAACTATTAAGTTATTTCCTTCGCTTTTCATATTACATCAGTACACCATTCTGATATTAATATGCCAATAACAAAACTGTAGAACAACAACAGTGCAGCATTATCATACGATGAACTATATTTAGTATAGTTCCAACTAAATTTACTGCTGAGCAACCACAGGGATAGCAGGCTCAGGGTTCGAGATTTGATGGAACTAATAGTGGATTTTTTGTAGATGGATTTTTCGAACTTGAACGCAAAATCCATCTGTAAGGGGGTTTGGCTAAAACTTAGCCGATCGTTGAGCGAAGGTTGTAGTAAATATCATCGAGACATGAAAATATCACTAAAATGAAAATATGTCAACCACGTCGGACGAAGGAATAATGTCGTGCGCTAGCTAGTAAGGTCTCGGTCAACTTCGATGAAGAATTTTCGTGAGAGATTGTAAAAAAAACTGTATTGTTTACCAGGTAACCCTATCTCCAAAAACACAATACCCTAACCAGAACTTACCGCCTTGCTAACTTTGTCATGGAATGGCATGCTATCTGGATGACAAAATAAGGCCAGTAACATTTTCTCACATCTCTAAAAAAATACACAAAAATAGTTATGTAGGTTAGGTCATCAAAGGTTCTTGGCACATAAAATAAGAACTTTATTTACCCACGCTACTATTTTTCACGAGCTATTTCCAAAAATTCAGTGGCAGACACTT